CCACCTTTGAGATCTCCCCCTTTGGGATCTCTGCTTTTGGGATCTCCACGTTTAGGATCTCAGCCTTTAGGGTCTCAACCTTTGAGATCTCCCCCTTTGGGATCTCTACTTTCAGGAGCTCCCCTTTTAGGATCTCCACTTTTGGGATCTCCCCTTTTAGGACCTCCATCTTTGGGATCTCCCATTTTAGGATCTCCCCATTTGGGATCTCCTCCTTTAGGATCTCCACCTTTGAGATCTCCCCCTTTGGGATCTCCACTTTCAGGATCTCCAACCTTTGGCATCACCACCTTTGGGATCTCCACCTTTAGGATCTCAACCTTTGACATATCCCCTTTTGGGATCTCCACCTTTAGGATCTGCAACACCTTTGGGATCTCCACCTTTAAGAATCTCCCCCTGTGGGACCGCCACCTTTGGGACCTCCATATTTAGGATCTCCTCCTTTGGGATCTCCACCTTTAAGGATCTTTCTCTTTGGGATCTCCCCCTTTGGGATCTCCACCTCTGGGACCTCCACCACCTTTGGGATCTCCTCCTTTAGGATCTCCACTACCTTTGGGATCTCCCCCTGTGGGACCTCCACATTTAGGATCTCCCCGTTTGGGATCTTTCTCTTTGGGATCTCCACCTGTGGGATCTCCTCCTTTAGGACCTCCCCCACCTCTGGGACCTCCCCCTTTGGGGTCTTCCATATTTAGGATCTCCCCCTTTGGGATCTCCACCTTTGGGATCTCCACATTTGGGATCTGCATATTTAGGATCTCCCGGTTTGGGATCTCCCCCTCCCCCTTTGGGATCTCCACCTCTGGGACCTCCATATTTAGGATCTTCCCCTTTGGGATCTCCCCCTTTGGGATCTCCACCTCTGGGACCTCCATATTTAGGATCTTCCCCTTTGGGATCTCCCCCTTTGGGATCTCCACCTCTGGGACCTCCACATTTGGGATCTCCACCTTTAAGGATCTCCATATTTAGGATCTCCCCGTTTGGGATCTCCCCCTTTAAGATCTCCACCTTTGGGATCTCCTCCTTTGGGATCTCCTCCTTTAGGATCTCCCCCTGTGGGACCTCCATATTTAGGATCTCCCCCTTTGGGATCTTTCTCTTTGGGATCTCCATCTTTGGGACCTCCACCACCTTTGAGACCTCCTCCTTTAGGACCTCCACCTGTGGGACCTCCACCTTTAGGATCTCCTCCTTTTGGATCTCCCCCTGTGGGACCTCCATACTTAGGATCTACCCCTTTGGGATCTTTCTCTTTGGGATCTCCACCTCTGGGACCTCCACATTTGGGATCTCCACCTTTGGGATCTCCCCCTGTGGGACCTCCATATTTAGGATCTCCACCACCTTTGGGATCTCCACATTTGGGGTCTCCCCCTGTGGGATCTCCCCCTGTGGGACCTCCACCTTTAGCACCTCCATATTTAGGATCTCCCTGTTTGGGACCTTTCTCTTTGGGATCTCCATCTTTGGGACCTCCACCACCTTTGAGATCTCCTCCTTTAGGATCTCCACCTGTGGGACCTCCATACTTAGGATCTACCCCTTTGGGATCTTTCTCTTTGGGATCTCCCCCTTTGGGATCTCCCCCTTTAGGATCTCCCCCTTTGGGATCTCCCCCTTTGGGATCTCCCCCTTTGGGATCTCCACCTCTGGGACCTCCACCACCTTTGGGATCTCCTCCTGTAGGATCTCCACTACCTTTGGGATCTCCCCCTGTGGGACCTCCACATTTAGGATCTCCCCGTTTGGGATCTTTCTCTTTGGGATCTCCACCTGTGGGATCTCCTCCTTTAGGACCTCCACCACCTCTGGGACCTCCCCCTTTGGGGTCCCCCCCCTTTGGGATCTCCCCCTTTGGGGTCTCCCCCTTTGGGGTCTCCTCCTCGGCGAGGCCAGGCCCGGGATGATCCCCTCACGGAGGCCAACGGTGCCGCCCCAGGACCCGCTGCCGCCTCTCCCCGGTGAGGAGCGGGGTCACCGAGCTGAGGGAGCCCGGGGTGGGACCGCGGGGCCTGAGCGGGGCCTGGGCCCGAAAAACGTGGCCCCCTCGGGGATTTTGGGGAGAAATTTGCCCTTTTGAGGGGTTTGTGATGAGATTTTCTCATTTCAGAGGAGTTTTCATCGGATTTTAGCAACGGGAAAGGAAAAAATCTGGGGAATTCTGTGAGGCACCAACGGAGCTCAACGTGGAGCAGGGGAAACGGGCGAGGAGAGGGGAAAATCTCCCTTTGTGTGTGAGGCCTTGGAGGGGTTTTTATCAAATACTCTCCTTTCAGAGGGGTTTTTTAATTAAACGTTGGCTTTTCTGAGGAGTT